GTTGAAAGTGTATATTGCCAGCTCACATTGAGACTTTTATCAGCTGACACTCCCAAATCCTTCTCAGGGCTGCTCTGAAGCCATTTGCCACACAGTTTTTATTTGTGCTTGGGATTGCCCTGACCCAGGTGCAGGACCTTGTTCTTGGCCTGGTTGAACTTCATGAGTTTGACATGGGCCCACCTCTGAAGCAGGTTTAGGTTCCTCTTAATGGCATCCCTTCCCTCTAGCATGTCAACTGCACCACTCAGCTTGGTGCCTTCTGCAAACTTACTGAGGTACACTCAATCCTGCTGTCCATGTCGCCTACAAAGCTGTTAAATAGCACTAGACCCAGCACTGAATCCTGAGGAATGTCACTCATCACCAGTTTCCACTTGGATACTGAGCTGTTGACTGCAACTTTCTGAGTGCAACTGTCCAGCCAATTTCTTTTCCGGAGAGTGGTCCATCCATCAAATCCATTTTTTTTCCAATTTTACAACTGGGATGTCATGCTGGACGGAGCCAAATGCTTTGCACAATTCCAGGTAGATGACATCAGCTGCTGTTCCTTTATCAGCTGACATTCTATCTCCATCATAAAAGTTTATCAAGCATGTCTTGCACTTGGTAAAGCCATGTTGGTTACTACTAATCACCTCATCTTTATTTTCCATGTGCCTTACCAGGATCTACTCGATGACTTTGACAGGCACAGAGGTGAGACTGAATGGTCTGTAGTTTCCTGGATCTCTTTTTCCCTTCTTGATAACGGTGCTATGTTTCTCCTTTTCTGGTCAGTGGGACCAGACTGCCTGACCTTCCAAATATGATGGATTGTGGCTTGGCAACTTAATCTGCCAGTTCCCTCAAAATCCATGGATGGATCCTGTCAGGTCCCATGGACTAATCTTCACATTAAATGCATTAATTAAATTTGGTTGTCTGAAGTACGATATTTTTACAGTATAGAATAATTTTCCTCACAATGCAGCTTCAGTGTAAACACTAATTACAATTACAAATATATACAATTGATATTTCATTATCGCCCCTCATTTAAGAGTTTCAGGAGAACAGGTATCTCATGTACAATTTAAGTTCACACAAGCCATTTATTCAGTGTGAGGAGTGAATTTTCTGTTTTCACTGACTTCAGAATTAGTAGTTTTTACACTTAACGTACATGATTTAGATAACTTCTCATGTGTCTCGCTCCAATTTATAGGAGGGAGAGGAAGTTCTTTGATATATGTATACCCAGCGTGAGATTAAGAAGCAACAGTTCATATGTTGTTCCAACCAGTTTATTACAAATCTTGATCAGAGAGATGGGGAAGGGGAGGATGGTGACTGTTATGAATTAGGCTGATGGGGAAGGGAAGACGGGCAATAGAAAAGATAGGAAAGAAGCAAGAATTGCATAAAGTGGGGATAATCACCACCAGGATCCAGCAGCAGTCCCATTGCACGCCATCCCAATGGTCCGAGGCAAAAGCACAGGGGGAAAGCAGCAGCAGTGTAGCCGGCCTTCAGCAGCAAGCAGGTAGCAGGCAGAAGCCACAGGGTAAGTCCGACAGAAAGCAGGAGGTCTCAGGTAGCAGGCCCAGGAGATAGTCCGTCAGCATGCAGGCATCAGCTCACGAAGCTTCTGATATCAGACACCTCTTCTTCAGCATGCAGGTCTCAGGTCGTGAGAAATCTGTTGTCAGAAAACCTAACTTTATGGTTGTTTGTCCCCTTTTTTATCCTTCTTCTTCTGCCAACATGGCATTCCTGGGCAATTAAGAGTCATGTGCAGCCCCCCTTGAAATGGCCATCTTCCTCGAGATAAGCCCACACAAAAGTCTGCTTCCTGGCCATTAGTCTGCGCCTTATCTCTCTCTCATTGCCCCTGGCCTTGTTCACCTGTGTCCCTCGACAAAGGATTTCTCAATTCTTGCCCAGGATTTGCTTGGACTTGTTCATCCGTGTCCTCAGCAAGCTTTGAAACAATGATGTAAAAGAATAATCTCTTACACCGTGGCAGGACGGAAGGGAAAGGGGAGAGGGAGAGGAGACTGGAAAAGGGGAAAAGTAAGTAAGGTTAAGGGATAAAAGGAGGAAAAGAGAGTGAAGGGGGAAGGGAGAGAAGGAATCAGTAGGAGAGCAGAAAGTTATACATAAGATGGAGAGATAGAATGCAAAAAGTGAAGGATGGAGTGGAGAGAGGGATGAAAGAGCAGGAAATAAGGAAGATTCAGCTTAGCTTTACCTGGAAGACAATATTGGAAAGAGAAACAAAGAACTCATTCAAAATGAAAGGACTCAAAAAAATATATTCTCTCTCCTTGGAAGTGTCATAACCTGGGGTTTAAAGATTCCTCCTGGACCCAAGGAAAATAGAGTTCCTGCTCTTTCAGAATAAACAGGATTTCTTCAAAGACTTTTTTAGTTCAACATTGTTTTCTCTGTCTCAGTAAAATAAATTACAGAACCCAGATGTAAGTTGTTCAAGGTAATGGACATATAGCTTAATTTTCCTAATCACTTGTCTCTACATAAACTGTCTTGTTTTTGTTCATATGTTTCATTGGATGTGTAGAATTCTTCACTGTTCTTTGGTAACAGTTTCCTAGCTCCCAAACTTTTCTAATGCATGGTTACTAATTCTTACTGCTTGTTCCAAGTATTCTGTTGAAGAAGTGTCAGGGTTTTAGTTTTTTGGTTTTCAGTATTCCACATCATAACATCAAGTAGTGCACTGGGAGTTAAAGTGTTAATGCTCCAATTCCAGGAACCTGTCCCCTGTACATTAGGGAAGTCATGGGATCTGACCCTTCCGGGTGGGGCGGTCTCTTACTGCCTGGCAGTGGGTGCTGGAGGCTGCTTTCCTAGCTGTTCCAAGCTTTTAGGTTTGACTCAGTCTCAGGAACTCTCTCTCTCTCCTATCTTATTAGTCTCAATTTCATTTAGATTTTATTATAGTGCATTCTGATATCATAGTCAGTAAAATAAGTTTTTCTCCATAGATTGTTGACACTGCTTTTTGTTTTTGTTTTTTTTTCCCCCATTTTGTGCATGGGAGGGAGGAGGGGGGGGTCGCAGGGGCCTACTGCCCCCCTGTCACGGACATAGATTGATCTAGTTAACTCTGTGACAAGAAGTAACACTATCACATCTCTTTAAAGAAACAAAATGCACAGTGAAGGCACCAAAAGTATCTTCCATTATGCTGAATTTCTATATACACTGTTGAAGAACACACTGGCTGTTTTAAAACATCCATATCCTTTTACAGCTATTTCTGTTACTGTCTCTCACATATCTTTCATTATAATTGTTTGCCAATTCCTTTTTTTTTCTTTTCTGTTTTAGAATACAGCATTTTCTGTTGAATTTTATCTTCTTCACATTCTTCTAATCTCTAGATTTTTCTGTTTTATTTCAGTATTTTTCATTTGTGTACATATCTTGTAATATACTGTCAGCTGAGAATTAAATCAACATGTTTTTATGTTTTTGCCTTCATATTAGTATTAAAGATGAAATATTAACAGGCATAACACAGATCCAGATGGAAGATACCATTGCTTTAGCCCACTACACATCCATTATACATTAATTTACACCAGTGTTCTCCCAGGAAATTTCCAGTCTGCATACTTTATAACAAAAACTTATTAACACAGACAACCCTTTATTTTTTAAAAAGGTTGTGAAGTAATATCAGATATGTCACTGAAATGCAAATATATTAATTTTCCATTTCTTTAATTTGTTTTGTATTTATACCAGAAAAGAAATTGAATACACTATGAAAAAAACCGATGGTGCTAGATGGTTCCCAAATGACCTTTAATGTCCTTATAGCCATCTTATTTTCCCTTTTCTTCCTTTTCTTATTCCAATTTTCTATTTACATGCAGACTCTCTGGCCACTACTGCTGTAGTATTTAGCTATTCCCATGACATCAATGCTTTTATTTTTGTTTCCAGGAAACAAGACAGGTTGCATCGTACCTATGGTACTGCTATACAAAGCAAACTTGCTTTGCAAATTTAATGACAACTATACATTGAGAGCTCCCTTAATGGAATACATTATAGTAAGGCTCTTCACTATCCTGGCACTGCTTCATATTTTAAAATATAAATTAGGCCTTTAACCATAGGTATGCCACTGGACCTTTTTGAAAGTGTTCATGTATATTTAATCGTTCCAAAGCAAGTTAATAGCTTATAAACTTCTTTGAAATATTCCTAGTCAGAGAACATTAATATCTCAAAGCTGACATTAGAGAAAAAAGGTTCTGGAAAAATATGTTCTCCATTCAGCTATTTACAGAAAATAAGTAAGCAAACAAACAAACAAATAATAAAGTAAATAAAACTCTGCATGATGACCTCCCTCAATTCCTCTTTTTACTTTTCAAGACAATGTTCCCTTGGAGCAATACCAAATAAAACTTCATCTGCAGATGAGGGAAAACAATGTTTACAAAACACAGAATATAATAACTAAACACCGACTACATACTAAACACAAATATTGTCCTGCAGATGTAAACTGCAAAATACTTGTTTGAATTATTCTGTTTGCTTCTACTCACTTGGACACCTGTTTTGTGAGAATGATACAACATTCTGGCCAACATGCATTTAAATGCTAAGAGGAAAATTCAAACGTTTGTCATTTTAACAATACTGAAACCCAGCTAATAAAACATCACAATAAAAAAAAACATCTCACAAAAATACTTAACTTGTCAGAAATAAAGTTTCAGCTGTACTGTCTTCTTCTAAGGAAAATAAAACAAAACCCTACATATATAAAGTCTTGTGTCAAGGCTATTTTTGAAATACACTTTCAAAACCACATACATTTTATTCCCATACAAAATTTCATTTTGCTGTAGATGTTATGCTTTTCATCAGAGAAAAAAATAAGTTACTTTTGTGATTTATTTTTTTTTCTGGGGGAAAGTAAGTTTTTGCTTCATGTGTTTTATCACTTCAGAGGTAGACATCTTACACACCTTTTCAAGACCTTCTTCCTTGAGGCTTATAACATCTAAATCAAAATCTGTCCTTAAGCCATTGGATTTGTTGAAAGTTATCCTTCCTGTGAGGCCTTCCCAGTGAGCCTATAGAGGGAGAAAAAATAATAATAAAAAAGATTATTTCTATAAATAAATACCTATTTCTTTACTTTTCCCAAAAAGAAAAATCTTACTTCTACTGAAGTGAGAATATTATTTATTCTATCAAAGTATTTCAACTTGTTATTTTTAAAAAATTATTTTATATTATGTTTTTGCTAACTAAGCTTTCTTTAATCTTCAAAAATATTTTTAAACCCCTTTCCATGCTATCCAATAAACTTTCTACTAAAAGCAATAACAAGCTCATTCTTATCATTTTTCCAATACTCATATACGCATTTTCACTTCTTTTTCCCATCCCACAGTCTCAACACTTTTCATGAACTCTGGATTTTGTTATTCTATTAGAACATTTCCTTCAAACAAGGGCTTACTTTTACAAGATGCTGAGTCCTCTGAGACTGCACTGAGACAGTAAAAATTGATGTCACCCAGAGCCAATATATTTATGTATACAAGTAAGAAACTTAGAAGAGCCTCATCCACTCGGGAAAAAAAAACAAACCACCATCACCACTACCACCAACACAAAAAGTAGAATTCAAGTGGGATTAAAACAAAAAGAAATGGAGATTGGAAGAAAGGAAAGTAAGGAAGCAGGATATATCTTATGAGTGACTCACCTCCTTAATGAGACTCATAAAGCGGGTCCCAAAGCGCCATGGTTTGTGGCGATTACACTGTAGTGAACTGACAGTCATCTGTGGGAACTGCTGGACAGCCACTGACACAACATGAACCGCATCATACATTAGAGCTGCATCCGTCTGAAATTAGAATGAAATCAGTACCATGAGCTTAAACTGAAAACAAGTGATGTCCCAGTGGTGAGAGAAGAAGCAACAAAATTTAGTAACTCTCCTTACATTGTAGGGAGAAAATAATCTGATAGCTTGTGTAGCGCTGTGTAACACAACCGTACTGCCAAGTCTCACTGAGGCATCTGGACCTTTAATTTCAGATTTTCTCTTTTTAATACTCAAATATCAAGTTTTTAGGATCACAGTAGGACACCATTACCATTGATGACTTACATGACCTTTAAAAAAGCAGTGCTTTAGGGGCCTATATATGCATGTTTGGCTTAAGACAGTTAATTCTATGAGTGAGGAAAAAGAAAAGCAGATAAGCAAAATAGCAAAAGCCTGATTATGAGAGAAAATTCCAAGGCCTAAGGAAATAATGTTTTTCAAATTGGAATTACAGACTAAATACTGTCCCAAAGGCATTCCAGCTGATTCATTTGTAACTGCTTATAGGCAATGTTTCAAATCCCTAGAGTGGACCTAATCAATATCTCCTAAAAAAACAGTGGCAAATTAGAACTGCATTAAATTGCACATTCATTTAATTGTTTTCATGTCCCATGCTAAATAAATGGACTGCTTAGATGTAGCATGTACTAACTACTTTTGTATTACCAAAGGATAGAGACAACCTCCCAGTGCACACTGTCGTGTAAAGAAACTGACTTCTCTTTTCTTCTTCTGTTTGATAAACAGAGACAAGCCTTGGAACCAAAAGAGAGGACCTTACATTCACTAGTAGAAATGAATGCTCTGCCATCTGCTCAACATACCTTAGAGAAAAGGGACTTATTTCCCCTTCTCATTCACATAATTAGTGAGCTGTGAAATGAGTTCTTTAATGGACAGGAAACCTGAGGATTACTGCACTTGTCACAATACAATAGAATGCAATACAAAATGAGCTTATATAGTGCCTTTCATGGAAATGCATCCCAAGGCTCTTTACAATAAAATTAAACATAAAAATGCAAAAATGCTCTACCATTATAGCCCATAAGCTACTGTTAAAGGGGAAAATATACTTTTACATGTAAATGGCTCTCCCAAGGAGAGATCTCAAAATTCAAATAGAAATAAATCCTTATTTTAAATAGCTAATATAATAGGTTTCAATGATCTGAGACACCAAGCAGCTGATGTAGACACACCATATCAGTCCAAAAATAATTTTTTCTGCCAAATTGTTCATCATCTTTAAGGCAATAAAGTGCTTTTAAGGCAAGCTGATATCTGACAAAGAGACAGTGAAACTCCCAAAAGCAGGAATGACATGCTGACTAAGCATCACACAAAGTTTAATATTCTAGCACTTGGCAGAAGTTGGAGTCTTGACAAAAGATTTTAAAATAAACTATAAAAGTTCAGCACATTAATCTGGCTCAGAAATGCAAGCAGTATGTTTGGAGCTTGTTTCTTTATTTTTGTTTTTTCAGTTTTAATTCTGAACTTGTAGACCTTGCACCAATGAATTGAAATTGCTGTGAAACTTTTGCAGAAACAGCCTATTAAGAAGTAACCAGAAGTTCAAAAATAGCATTAACCGATAAGTAGATATAACTTTAAACATGGAACCGATAAAATTCAACAGCAGGAATCAAATGGACATTATGCCAGATGCAGAGTAACATGGCTTTTTGTCAAATTCTGTAAGCCACAGAGCTTGAAGTCTGAAGGACAGTCAACTCCAGTGGAAACAATAAAAAAACCATTGAAATTATGGCAGTAATTTGAATTCTGTTAATATTCTTCATACTCAACTGATAAGCATTGTTTCAGTGAAAATAAACCTAAATCAGAATGCACTCTTTTAGATGCATACAACATAAAATAATCCTGGTTAGAAGTTGAGTGTCCAATTTGATTTTTAGATGCTACAAGAAAAATTCATTGATTACACAGGCTGAGATTCCTCAATCCACCTTGTATAGGTAACATTAATGTTAAATGGGGACTTTAATGTTTTTATTGCATGAAGATAGAGCCATATGCTGGAAACTATTGGTTTAGTGATTCAGTATCATGCTCATCTCTCTTAGTGCAATAACTGATTTTACTGAATGAGAAATAAACACTACAGAACTCAGAAAAAGATATAAAGTATATGCCTGAATTGTGAATTGAACTATTCTCTTTTAGGTCACTTTATCTTTCACTTGAGACAGCAGGAATTGGTAGCAATTAGTCTAGCTCTCCAATTTCATTTGTGAAGCCGGAAGCCGACCACTTTTCCCTAACATCACGTCGGGGTCACCATATGAAGCCGGAAGCCCGCTTCAGCTTCATACAGGTGTTCGCAATCGTTAGGGACCTCTCGGTCTGTCCATCTACCTCGGTGCACACCAATGTGGTGGGTGGTAAAATGGCGTTTATTAACTCGTGACAACAGTTTATATAGCCTTGTACATCTTCGTCTACGCCCCTCTTATCATACGTAAGCACTTACATCACTACTTCTTATCTAGTTACTACGAGCAACTACTCGAAAGTTCTATGCTCACTGTCTACAATTTGTTAGGCCTGCTAAGCTTTTTTTGCCTCTCATTGCCATTTGTCCATGGATCTTTATTTGTCTTCATTGCACTACTAAAATAATGTTTTGTGATTCAGAAAGCACTGCAGGTTTCAGCAAGAAACTTGTCCAGAATTTGAGAGAAAATGTACCCGGTTACATTTTTAGCATTCTTTATCTTATCTAAACACAGATTGACAGTCTGGAAGAAGAAGAGGATATAAAGTTCATGAGAAGGAATGATTCTTGAACTTCAGATAAGACCCTACAACATTTCCATTTGCTGAAGAAGTGAATTCATATTAGAAGAAGATAATCTTACTGAAAAGTAAGATGAGTACTTTTTAGTTAACTTGTATAAACTTTTAAAAGATCATGTTGTATTGCACAAATGTATCTTGGTCCAGTTTTTTAAATGTGTTGGTTTCTTTGTTTTTTAAAAAACTTCACAGTATGTATTACTAATGACTTATTTAGATACAAATAAATGCATTAAAAATACTGCTTATGACACTTTCACTTGCATGTCTACATCTACAACTACAAAAGAAAAAATCTAATCTACAGAAGGTACAAATATCTTTATCAAATTGAAATAGTATGAGATAAAGCTGATAAAATTTAAAATGACTTGAAGTCTTTCAGCTGAGTCAAGGAAGTAACAAAAAAGCTGTTAGCACTCAGAGACAACAGCTTAATTAGAGAAGTGAGCTCAGACAGAGTACCTCAAATAGAGGGAAATTATCAACACCTGTATTTAATTTTTATCCCAAACTCAGCTGTATACTACACATTCCTTCTCACTGCTCTGTCATTCCTTAACAGCCTTACTGCAGGTGTTGTGTTTGCGCTATTTACTTGCAAGTCCTACTTGCTAAATATTGTCTAATCTCACTGTGGAAGAGCTTTGGTGGGAACAAGACACTACTATTTCTCCCCATGCCTTCTCAGATTAAGAGGTAGAATCCCAACCAAAGATGCCACAGGCACTTACTAAACTTCAGTAGATTAATGCAGAAACATTTCACATAATCCCACACAACATCTTTGTCTCTAAATTGAAGAAAGATGGCTTTGATGAATGGACCATCTGGTGGATAAGAAACTCAAAGTACACTCTCGGCAAGTTTGCCCACAGCTCCAAACTTCAGTAGTCAATGTGTTGGAGTGAAGGGCTGGAATCCAAAGGGACTTTAACAGCCTTGAGAAATGGGCCTGGTGCAAAATAAATACAACATCCTGCACTGGGACTGTGGCAGTTTCAAGCACAAGTACAGGCTGAGTGGAGAAAGCCAATCACATCCTGGGTGAAGGCATATCCAAGAAGTCAAGGGAAGGTATTCTCCCCTTCTACTCCACTCCTGTATGACCTCACATGGACGGACTACTGCATTCAGCTCTGGGGTCCCCAGCACAGGGACATGCACCTATTGAAGAGAATCTAGAGAAGGGCCACTAAACGATCAGAGGGCTGGAGCACTTCCCCTGTGGAAAGGCTAAGAGAGTATATACAATAAATAAAATAAATAATAAAACTTCGAAACTCTTCTTAGAACTAAATTTATATACAACTGTTCTATAACACAACTGAAACTCTCTAGACAGTCTAAGACTGGATTTTCCACACAAAAAAATTTGAAATATTTGATTAAGAAGGAATGTCAAAAAATATTTTTTCATCAAAGAAAGAAAACAAGAAAATGCATATATATATATATATATATATATATATGTATGTATACATATATTCTATAGCTCTGTTGACAGGTCCTGTCCTGTCACAAGATAGAAATCTTAATCTGCATTTACCAGCAACCAGTTACAAATGTAGTATCAAGTCACAAATGCATCACAGATTAATCAAGTTTCTATGCAAAGACAAATAAGAAACTGTTCTTTTCAAAACAAAACTGAAGTTAAAAGAATACTTGGAATATATTCTGAATTTACTCTTTGGTCAGTTTTGCTTTCAACTAAATCAACTCAGTAAAAATTGCAGTATGTGTACTTGTACACCTCACTTGAAATAGCATATCACTTAAGCCCAGCTTTTTCAACTGATTAGTGACATATGCATATGCTATTCTCACGTTATCTTTACCTCCCCATTATCTAAATAAAGACTACTACAATAAGCTTGATAGTTTGTTCATACTGACTGTGATCACTGGTGTAACAAAGTGTTAACATGCTCATTTCGTAGTGCGGCAAGATTCTCTCATTGAGCTTTTATTTAAGGCACTTACACTTGCCAGACTTTAGAATATAAGAATGTTGCATCTTCTTTTGGCAAGGGGAATGTATCCGAAGGTAGGTTCCAGGAGGATTGATTTTTCCATTGTCCCTTATAAACAGTATTTTCTTACACAAAAACGCCTTGGATAAAACACTATATGCAAGGTCACGTTTTGTTTTTCAACTCCCAGTGTCTATCAAGACTATTTCTAGT